TCTCCACTGCAGAACAAAGCACGGACTGAGACCTTCAGACACAGAAGCAGTGACAGAGTCTCCTTGTTCTTCCAAGGTCCCAAAGCTCTTCACAGCTTACATGTCAGTTCAGACAGAAGCCAAGCCACCCACGCAGACAGGAGCCCCAGGCCTCCAGTCTCCTCCACCTGGCTGCTTCCCCTCCTCCCGGCCCTGTCTGGAAGTTGGCTCCTGGGATTTGATATTCCTGGTTCCACGCACCATGTCCTTGGTTTCTACTCCTGCACCAATCATTATATATTTGATTTCAAAAATAAAGCAGTCATGCAATGGAATATTATCCAGCCTTAAAAGGCAGGAAAATCAGATACCTGCTACAGCATGGATGAACCCTGAGGACATTACACAGGGGGATAAACACTGTATGATCCACTTACAGGAGCACCTAATGTAATCGAATTCCTAGAGACAGGAAGGAGGATGGTGGCTGCCAGGGGCTCGGGGGAACAGCACATTAGTGTTCATCAGGGACAGAGTTTCAGTGTGGGAAGATGAAAAAAGATCTGGAACTGGGTTGGTGATGGCTGTACTCAACTGTACACTTAAAAAGGATTGTTAAGATAGTGAATTTTATGTATATTTTACTGAAATAAAAAATATTTTTAAGAAAGATCCCTGTTTTGCAAGGTTTTCTACTGTTCAATGGTCCTGCTGACTCATTACAGAGCTCCACACTCAGGCCCAGGCTCAGCCCAGGAACACACCTACCTGGCTTCTCAGAAAGGGCCCACGACGTCGTATTTGCGATCCACGCACTGCCTCCCCCTCACCCCGCTACTGAACGCCAGGTTCTGTCCTGACACTGGAAGGTCAGTGGTGAGCATGACTCTTAGAAATCTTTTATTTGCAGCAGTGAGACAGGCAAAAGGAGACAGGAAAAGTGAGGGGACCACAGCAATGGGTGCTGGAGGGTCTGAGCGCCAGAACGGTGGCACAGCTGGCAGTCAGGGGAGGCCTGTCTGGGGGGTATCTGAGCTCTGGCTGAGCGGCAGCATGCTCCTCCTTTGCCCCTCCCGAAGACTCACAGCCACTTTCTCCCCACACATCTTCCATCCACTGAAGCCAGCAGTGTGTATAAAGCCATGGGATTGTTTAGGCCAGGTAAGTTAAAAAATAATAACAGCAACTCATCTCTTATCTCCTTTCAACCACATACACCCACAGATTTGTTGCCAAATAATAATACTTTCACCTTGAAGTCATCTACCTATCTACTTTACCACTGCTTAAAAAGAAACAAAGAAAAGAAAAAGTTCTCCCCACAAGCTCCCCTATGACTTCCCCCAACTGCCATGCGAGCAGCCAACGTCAAATGAAGATGTAAATCTTCTTTGCAGGCCACTCTTCCTGCTCCTGCCCACGTCCTGGCACCGCCCAGGCCCTTCCTACACGTCTTGCCCGTGCTCTATCTGAGACGTGAAACCCTGGGTACGGATTCTTTCTCATTGCCCAAGACGCAATAAAATAGGAAATATGGTGAGTCAGTATCACAGTGCAAGACACCCAACTCCCAGAGGAGGCCTAGGTATCTAATCAACACCACAGGCCAAGGCGCAAATGCCCTCACCATCCACTCTTCCTAACCCAAGAATAGCAGCGCTGGACAGAGCAGCAGCTCTCTACCTATGTGTCAACTAAAGGGAGCAGATCTTGGCTCAACAGGAAGAACTGCAGGAATGAAACCTGCTCAGGACAACGCTGCTGGGGGCTGGGGGCCAAGGGAAGCTGCTGCAGCCTTTACAGCAGGCATCTGGCAATATACATAATGCGCGCGCGCGCGCGGCGCAGATGATCTCATAAACACACATCTCTCGAGGCCACAATTCTTATTACGTGCTCTTCAAGAGTCCTATCCTCTCTTGCTCTCCTAAGCCTCACGCCACCCACACCTGCCTTTTCCAGGTTGCTGTCTGCATTCCCCAGGGCCCTGGAAGGCTGGGTGGAGGGAGGCTCCCTCTCATGCGCGCTCCTAGAAATCCCCAACAGAATGCCTGGGTCTGGTATGTGGCAGGCACCAAACCGTTCCCATGAGTGGGCTTTGGGGATGGAGAAGTACCCTGAAACATTTAAGTGTGCAGATGTTCGTTTAAGTTTTTTAAATATTGAAAATCAGAACCAATTAAGTATCCATAAAGGACTGGATGAGTACTTTAAGCCACAGCCAGTGGGTTGGGGCCTGTGTGGACACCAAGTGCTACCTTTACCTTCTACGGCTGTGGTTTCAAAGACCTCCCAAGCCACACAGATGCAGGCACTGAGCAGAGTCTCCACCCTGCCAACCCCCAGAAGCCAACTTACAAGACAGAAATCCAAATATTCTCATCAAAAGCCCCAAATCCAGAGCGAGACCCACTCTTTTGCCAGAGGCAGAGCAAGAGGAGAGAACCAGGAGAAAGAAACATGGTCCTGCTCCCCCATGTGCGACCAATGGCATTCCGGTCCTCTGCTCTGTCCCCACAATACGAGGGAGAGAGTCAAACTCGCTCTGTTAGTGCAAACAGCACAGTGTTAAGCTGGGGTAACGATGTCCCGGCCTGAGAGAAATGAGCGACAGCACAGCAACCAAGCAAACACTCAACAGCAAAAGCAGAGAAACAGATGGGACCACGGTGTTGGAAAGACAGAGGTCTTGCCCTGGAAGGAAACAGAACACTTGAGGAAGAACAGGAAACTCTCCCCAACACTTCATGCTCCAGAACAGCAAGAACATGAAACCAGTAAAACAAGAGCTCGGACATGAGATGAGGAAATAACAGAAGGGAGACTGTCCCCCTAAGAAAATGAACTGGGGATCAAAACAACACAACAGCAAAATTAGTAAATGAGTTAAAAGCAGCAAGTCTGGAACACGCTGCTGGAAACTGACTTATAAGCCCAGAGGTAAGGGTTATAAACTGCATGGCGGGTGTAGCTGGAAAAGACAGATAAAAACAGAAATGAAACGCAGACATTTATCCCACATCAAGTGTCCTTGAAATGGAGAATCCAATAAACAGAACAACATAAAGTGTGTTTTTTAAAAATACATTCACAGAATGATAGAAGAAAATTTCCTGAAGCGATTAAAGAAATCAATCTCTTCCAGAAAAATTTAACACAATGTGCTCGAGGAAGTAACAGATTATAACCAAGTTACTAAATTTCCATGATAAAGACAGAGGCATAAAAAAGCTGATCACCCACAGGGAGGGGGAAAATTAGACAGCCCTCAATTTCTCCCACTGTCGTGTTAAAATACCATAGACCCTGGAGAGAGGACCACCAAGCTCTTAGTGTAGGGCCAGACTACCATATCAGTCTAGGTGTCATTCAAGTCCAAAGGCAAGGAACAAACATTTGTAAATGAGGGGCATTATTGGGAGGAGAAAACAGGAATCTAGCCAATTAAGAGATGAGCCAAAATAAAAGATTCTATACTGGGAAAGCCATACTTTAGTAGAAGCATTGAGTCAATTTAAATAGAAAACTGAGCCAATGATGGAAAGCAGGTTACAGACAGAAGGGAAATTACAATACAAAATTAGTAACTTTTTTAAATGACAGATGGGAGAAGGAGGGTGAAGAATAAGAAGGTTGGCATCCCAGTCCTTTAAGAAGGGGAGTCAGTGAACACTGTCAGAACTGAAACATTGTTTTTAAAAGACACAATTTTAACCTTGTAATGCTTTTAAAAATCTCTACCCTTAATCTTAGATGAAAGTAAGCTTTCGTGTTAAAGAAACTTTTTTGAAATTTAACACTTCTTTGGTTTTCAAGTTAGCTTCCTTCCTTTTACTGAAACCTAGTAAAAATATAAGCCTTTTAGTATAAAATAGCAGTGTCAGGTTGCCTTTTTTATAGAAGCACTTCTATCCATCTTCCGAAATTCTTGCACCTGTCTAAAGGCATTATGAAGTTGTCTGCAATCATGTGAACCAGTGTGACTTTGGGTGGCTAGGATCTGGGGGGTAAGAGATATTTTCTTCATTGTACCTTTCAGCTTTGATTATATTGAGCATGCATCATTTTTATCATTTTATGCAAATACAGAATGACTTATCTTAACTTAAAAAACAAAACAGACTGGAAAAAGCATGCCAAGATGTTAACCATGCTTAGTATTGATGGTGGACATGGATGACAATTTTCTTTGTACTTTTCTCTATTTTTCCAGGGGAAAAAAAAATTCAGTGTTGCTAAAGCATGTGAGGTGATGTTGAAGTTTCTGGTAGCTTGGAAAATGGAAAGAGAGAAAAAAAACAACTCTGTATATCCACATATGTAAACAGGAGAGAGAAAAGCATCAGACAGAAGATTACAGTTGATTTCTTTTTCCTTCTCTCTCGCCTTTTTTTTAAATTTCTGGAAGGTGAGTATTTGTTATTTGTGTAATTAAAAAGACACATCTTAGTTTTGTTTTTTTAACAGAAGGGGCTTTTCATAATGTAAACACTCCCGGCCCTAGAGGTGCCTGAGTGGTGAGGTAGGGCTTTAGATGGTGCCTGCAGGAGGCCGGCTCTGAAGCCTCAGCTGAGGGAGCTGAGAAGGGATTAGCCAATTCCTGGAGGCCCCAGCAGTCCAATGATGCAATGCCAACATGAAACGAGGGGGTGAAGACTGCTCTAAGACACACACAGTTCCCAGACGTTTCCCCATCCATTACAACCTGTGCACGCCCAGAGACAAGACGTTATGTTGGAAACAAAATCAAGAAGAAAATGGCTCGATTCATACTCAACAATATACAGCAACTGGAACAACACGCCACTCCAAAGCCTGACATGCCCAAGCTACAGTGCCCAAGCTCATAGCCTTCAGGTGCTTTTGATGGTTAAAGAGGTGAAAGGGAGGGAGGGAGGAAGGGCCCATAAAAGCAGATGAGCGACTAAAAGGAGTTACCTTCAAGCTCCACCAGCATGCAGATACTCAGCATGCTTATTAGACCTTAAGGTTTGGAATATTCCAACTGGAACAAAACTCACCAGTGGCTATGGCCCAGTAAACGTCTGATCCACTCAGTAACTCACCACATGCTATGGAAGAATAAACCTGGGACCCAGGAACTTGAAGTAGAATTCGAAATGGAGCGACCCGTGCACTGGAATCCAGCACTGCATCCAGAGCGCCCACCAGGCGACCTTCAAAAGAAAAGAGAAGACAGTGCACCTCTGAGCACAGGACTGAGCAGGCCAGGCCACAATGTACACGCTGGCTCCACGTGCACCAGGCAGTGGGCTCGGCGTCTGAATCAACACCAGAGGCCGCAAGTCTCAGCCCAGTCCTTCCATTCACTTCCCCCGGGCATGAGCTCTGTGAGGCCAGGATTCTGGCTCCGTGCACCCATATCCCAGCAACTGGAACAGGGCCCGGGGCTAACAAGGCACTCAGCACAGATTTGCAGAAGGAGAAGTGAACAAGGGGCCCTAGCCTAAGTGCTTCCATGCCACAGCATCTCAACACAGGAGACAGATGGTACGATTCAGTAAATGGGGATCTGGAGTCAGAACGCCTGACCTGAATCCTGGTTCTATCAACTCTGAGGTGTGACCTTGGGCAAGTTATCTAACTCCTTTATGCCCTGCTTTCCTTGTTTGTAAGTCATAATAATCACAGCATAGCTACCAGTAGGGTAATTGTGAGAATTTCATGAGTTAACGTATGCAAGAGCCAGAGAGCTTAGACGCTTGCCTGGCTGTAAGAAGTGTGTTACTATTACTGTATCATCCTCTCAAGTGTCGAATCACAATTCCTGCCTGCTCCAGAAGAGTACTGTGAGAAGCAAATAAAATACATCAAAGTCTTCCACAGACCATAAAGCACAGGCAGTCTTACCATTCTGTTGTAATGAACAGCATCAGGAATCAACTGTTGACCAAAAAAAAAATCCGTTCCTCCCCAGTTGCCCCCTCACCTTATACAAAATTGTTAAGTAACAGCCCTGAGTAAGGGCCACCAATTGCCTGAGCAAGTAATATGTGTATTTTGTGGGGTTTTTTTTTAATCACCTCAAACATAAATAGATATTTTATGCTCAAACACAGAGAAAAGTTGAATCATTAGGGAGTCAGTTACTGATTAACACCTTATCATCTCCAGACACTGTAGTGTGTATTTTATAAAAATAAAGACATCCTCCCCTATGGTCACGGGACAACCATCAAATTCAAAAACTTAACACTGATACATTCCTATCATCTAATCCTCAGATTCCATTCAAATGCTGCCAAACATTCCAATAATGTCCTTTTGCTACAACAGATGCTGTTGAAATCACACAATGCATTTATTTTGGTTATGTGAGTCTCGAGAAGTTTTTCAGTCTTTGACTTTTGTGACCCTGACACTTGTGAAGATTGCAGGCCAATTTGTAGAATGTCCCACAGTTTCTCTGGTGTTTCATCATAATGAGATCATGACTTGATTCAGGTTATAAATCTCTGGCAAGAATCCCAGAAGTGATGTTGTGTCCTTTTCATAACATCTTATCAGGTTGCAGATGATTGAGGTTTGTCCCCTTACTGGAAATGTTCCCTTCGATCACTTGATTAAGATAGTGTTGGCCAAGCTCCTGCACTCCTTTTTCCTTTTGCAATTAACAAATATTCTAGGCAGACATTCTCTGAAACTGTGTTTCTCATTTAATTTTCAACATTATACATTTTAATATTCATTTATTTATCAGTATGGCTTCATGTTTTCCTCCTTTATCCATGGGCTATAATGTAGTATTATCATTATTTTGATGCTCCCATTTATCTCAGATTTGCCAGTGGGAGCCTTTTTAAGCTGGCTTCTGTATCCTTTGGACATGTCCCCATCATTCTTTGTACTTTCTGGCACAGTAAAATGATCTGAGTTCATCTTGTGCTTTTCCTGCTCCAGCCCTGGAATCAGCCATTTCTCTAAGAAGCCCTGGTTCCTTTAGTGAGGAATGGTACTTAAAGGCTAAGATCGGGAGCCAGGTATGCTCTTTGCCAACGGGGGTGCTTACTCTGAGAACTTCTCAGCAGACAGAGCTAGAGACTATATGTCTGCTTGTTTGTGTGTATATGTATGCATATATGTGTGTTTACATATTTGTATACACAACCATATGCATATTCATCAACACATTAATTTTTACACACATCTACATATATGAAACCTAAGTTCCCACCAATGCTTCCAGTCACAATATGATACCACAGTGCTTGTTCTGGTTTCTCTCCATATGACTCTGTTCTCCATCACTGAGAAACCTGGCTTCCATTACTATTTTTTTATTTTTCGTCAAAGAAAATTATAGAAAGATGTAGCACCATTTTTGTTACTTAGAAACTCATAATACTGTGTACCATCTGTGTACACATCTAAGTACTGGTTTACAGATACTAAGTGCTCTGAGTTATTTATTGCCTCTGCAGACACAGGGGCTTTATTAATATATTTACTTATCTGATGAATCTTCCTATTGCTACCACTGTCCCCTGTGGCAGATGCCCCCTCACCCTAACCAGGCCCCAACTGCCCATACACCCCACCCCTACAATCGCCTTGATCTGTCCCACTTAATGGCTTTAGAGGGACAGGGGGCAATGGGTTTTTACAGCAATTTTTTCCATAGGCTGCTCAGAATTTCTGCCTCCTTACTGGTTTGCTCCCAAGTTACAGACCCCTAAGGGGGCCTGAAAGCCGTCTGCTACTTTTAGAAATACGGGGCTGCTACTTTAATACAGAATCTGAGCAGCAGCTTAGGGTAGCTCTGCTATTTAAAATGCAGTTGGGGAGGCAAGGTGGAGTTAAACATGCTTTTGTGTAAGACTGATAAAACACATCTATCCATGCTGAACATCACTAATCAGCAGGGAAATGCAAATCAAAACCACAATGAGATGATCACCTCACACCAGTCAGAATGGCTGTATCAACAAGACAAGAAATCACAAGTGTTGGTGTGCATGTGGAGAAAAGGGAGCCCTTATACAATGCTGGTAGGAGTACAAATTGATACTGCTGCTAAGAAAAGAAGTATGAAGGTTTTTCAAAAAACTAAAAATGGACCATATGACCCAGCAATTCCACTTCTGGGAATTTACCGAAGAAAACAAAATCAGTAATTCGAAAAGATATGTGCGCCCCTATGTTCATCACAGCATTATTTATAATAGCCAAGATATGGAAACAACTTAAATGTCCATCCATAGATGAATGGATAAAGCAAACGTGGTATATATGCAATGGAATTTACTCAGCCATTAAAAAAAAGAAATGAAATCTTGCCATTTTGACAACATAGATGAACCTAGAGAGCATTATGCTAAGTGAAATAAGTCTGACAATACCACATATTGTACTTTTACATGGAATATGAAAAATAAAACAAACAAGTGAACAAAACTGACACTCATAAGTGCAGAGAACAGACTCATGGTTGCTACGGGAAAAGGAAGGAAGTATAGGGATGGGTAAAACAGGAGAAGTAGGGGAGAAAACCATGCTTGCCAAGCAAAGATCGGAGGGTCGGTAACAGGGAAGCTGATGGAGGTTAGAAAGGGGCTTAGAACCCCCACCCATCCCACTTGCACACCCTTGGCACTTCCACCAAAATTAAAAGGTCTGTTGTAGAATCCACATCTAATTTGGTAAAACGGAGAAGGAAGTGGGAAGGGTGTGCAGTAACTTACAGCAGCCACAGCACAGGAGCAGACTTGTTAGTTGGAAAGAGTGGTGATTCTCTTCAGACTCAGGAACTTTTGTAACGGTCAATATGTTCTAGGCCAACACAACCGACTGAGCCCCTTCTCCTGCAGGGAAGGTGGGGAGGTTGGCAATTAGAGACCGAGGAGGGGACTTGTGATTTGAGCTCTATCATGTAAAGAGCCCGGAAGCCTTCACTCCCACCCCAACAAAAAGAAAAGGCTGAGCAAATTGAAAATTGATGACTCTTCTTAGACCCGTCAGAGAGCTAAGGTCACACAAATCAGAACCCTGAAATCTGGAGAGAGAATCTAGAGTCACAGCTGAGATCTGCTCCCCTAGGGCAGAAGCTGCTGAAACCATAAATTGGTAGAACATACAGATATGGTGGTTTTGACAAAGCGCTAGAAGCTGAGCGTGGACTAGCATGAGAGTAAGAACTACTGAAGGTCAATTTTAAGGGGGCCCCAAACTTGCACGGGTTTTACCAACAGAGGCTGCACCCGGTTCTCACTATGAAGAGCCGAGAAAGATTCCTTCATGCTTCTCCTAGGGGAGCACACACATGCAGTGTGCTCAGTGTGTTCTCCGTAACAAGACCTACTCTCCAGGTGAAAAGCTTCCCCAGAGCCTTATCCAGACAGAGAAAAGGTATTTTGCTGACTCCAACTCCCTCTTGCCTCCCCATCTCATCTAAGCAGGGAGGAAGGCAGCCAAGAAACATTGTAAAGGACAATGCCCAGAGACTGAGCCACAGAAAGAGTGAGATTCTCTGTTATGATTATAGGTTGCTTCCCCTCCGCCACACTTTACTACCATATCAACAGCCTTCAGAATGACAGCTGAAAGAGCAGCAAGCTTCAGACTCCATCTGAGCAGCAGTCCTTAGAGAAGCCCAAAGACAAAGGGACGTTGGTGGAAGCTCAAACTTCTGGCACCAGGGCTACAGCAAATATCACACAAATGGTCAAAATAACCATAAAGCACACACTAAAGAACTCTCTTCAGTTCTTATTACTTGATACATTATGCCTGGCTTTCAATAAAGAAGTTACTTGAAAGGCAAGAAAAAAACAGTCTGAAGAGACAAAGTAAGCATGAGAATGAGCCTCATCCATGACACAGATCTTGGAATTAGCAGACAGGAAATGCAAATAAATATGATCAATAGTTGATCGATAGATTAAGGGCTCCAATGAAAAGAGACAATATGCAAGAACAGGTAATGTAAGCAGAGAGATGGAAACTCTATGAATTGCTAAAAAGAAATGCTAAAAATCAAAAACATACTAACAGAAATGAAGATTGCATTTGGTGAGCTCATCAGCAGACTTGGACACAGCCAAGGTGAGCTTAAGAATAAATTAATAGAAACCTTCCAAACTGAAAAACAAAGGGAAAAAAGAAAAAAGAACATCTAAGAATAATGGAGCAACTTTGAAAGATATAAGATACACATAAC